TGAAAAAAGAAAGCAAGTAAATCGCTTGTAAATCTATTCTATTCTCCTTTGACCACCATAGAGAACCTTTTCTACCTGCCAGCAGCATTGCTGGCCCTAGGCTCCCGGAGAATAATACACCGCGCATTCTTGGCCTCACGTTTCCTACTGACCTGAAGTGGAGCGACTATATCTAATCTACTGCAAGGAAAATTTGTGTCACTGTGTCGTGCCAAATGTTTTTTTCTCGACAGATTCCATCTTGTACATTTACAAATCTATCATTCGATCGTGCATTGAATATTGCTGTCATAACTGGTCTGGTGGCCCTGCTATTCGTCATGAAAGAATAAAAAGAAGACTTCCCTCTGTCCTTTCTATAAATATTTTCATGGCAACTGCTCTTACGGGCTTTTTTCCACGAAGCCCAGAATATATGAATTTAACCGTGCTACTAGATTGACATCTAGGTCCTACCTTTTTACTGTTGACACTTCTACTCCAACAGATTCTTTTCACGCACTTCCCACTCGTGGAACTCCTTTCCGATTTCTTGCTTCCCAGATAACTACAATGTTCAAAAACTTAAATGCAACTTCAATCGCCATCTGTCTTCTTGAATCCCGTTCATCTTTTGTCTTTTCTTCAATTCTCTTTATATTCATTCTTTTCTCCCACTTTCTCGCCTGCGTACTAGTGGCATTCCCACCTTCATTGCGGGGGGGGGTGATGATAAAAAAAGACATAAAAAGAAAGTCTTAAAAAATGTGTATACATTTTTCTGAGACACTGTATATATATATTCGTAAATATAAGTGTACATATGTGCTTTTATAAGTTAACATTATTTGCATATCTCTCTAAACCAGCGTTTCTCAACCTTTTTACCCTTGCGTAATCCTTAAAATAAATTACATGTCTCAAGGAACCCCTTGACAAAATTATATACCATATCTTTCTCATCTTATTTTCATCGTAGTTTACGTGGTAAATATCATAGTATATTTTTGAATAACTGGTTTAAGGAAAAATGAATACTTCGTTGTCAAATTTTTCGGTAATCATACTTATTATAAAACCCAGGTTGTGTGTGTGTGTCTGTACGTTTATATATTGGAACAAATTTCCTACATTTTTCAACCGATTTCAACAAAACTTCACAGGACTACGTAAAATTACCTTGCGGTGGTTCTGACAGCGCCCAAAATTGGAAAAACACAATTGTTTTTGCACGAAATCAATTTGAAAACACGGTTAAGAGTCATCGCGAGAATGAAAGGGGGACAACTCATATCGAGTTATACTTATTATAAAACCCAGGTTGTTTGTGTGTGTGTGTTCATTTATATATGGGATCAGATTTCCTACATTTTTCAACCGATTTCAACAAAACTTCAATTTTTTTTTGGCAGGTAGTGTTTTCTTATTGTCAATTTTTTTTTTTCTTTATTTTTACATTCAGAATGCTTTAAAATTCCAATTACAAGACAATTGTTTATAATAAAATTCTATTCAATCGGTGGAGACTCATAACGATTGAAAACAATGTTTTTTGTTTGAGTTTGACCATTTCAAAAAAAAAAAAAAAAAAAAAACTAATTAAGACATGCGTGTCCGTCAACCTTAAACAATAATCTTTGTCAATTTTATTTTTCAGTCTTTATGATGGTCGATACTTGATCTATCTCTTACTGTTACATCCCCGGGCAACGCCGGGCTCTACTGCTAGTTAATAAATAAAATTCATAATGGTCTGTTTATAACAGACTTCATCAGGGAGTTTTCATTCACCCCAAAAATTTCTAAACTCAAGCGTAAAAAAAAAAACTTAACCAATATGTTATACCTATAATATAGATGTAAACAAACAAAAAACAGATAATTGGTGCATCAGTTTGTTTTTATTTTTTTATAGTTTTTATTAGCTATGTTGAAAAGATATATGGTAAATCAACGCAAAATGTCCTGTGAACCAATAAATGGGCTAAGAAAATGTTATTTTCAGAGCCATTTCATAAAGTGAAACATGCTTCTCTAATGTGAAGCCTGTGACTGTCTTTTGCTACAGAAATCCTTAATTTAAGGTCGAACTTTAAATAAACAGACACGGATTTCATTGTTAATTGATAAGAGACGATTTCTGTAAAAAATCTTGATAAATAAGAAAAGTCTTGTTCACTCATGTCAGACGTTGAAAACTGCAATAACATAATTGGTTAGATAGGATGATGTCTATATTACAATAACCAAGAGTATAACGCTGCTCGAAACTTTGAGAATAGATTGAATATAAAGAGATATGAAGAAGAAATATTAAAAGAGAGAGACACTAAAGAGAGAAAGAGAGAGAGAGAAAAGAGAGAAAGGGAGAGAGAGAAAGAGAGAAAATTCCCCTTTTCAAATTTAGGAGAAGGAGAAAGGGAAGAGAGAGAAAGGGAGCCAAGAAAGATAGATCTTTTGGTCTCATCTGAAAGGGAAAGAGAGAAAGAGAGAGAAAAGATTTTTAGAAGGAGAGAGTATCTCAAGAGAGAGAAAGAAAGAGAGAGAGAAAGAGAGAGAAAGGTAGAGAGAGATAGAGAGAGAGAAAGGGAGAGGGAGAAAGGGAGAAAGAGAGAAAGAGAGAGAAAGGGAGAGAGAGAGATTGGGGAGAGAGAGAATTCTGAAAGAGAGAAGGAGAGAGAGAAAGAGAAAAAAAGAAAGGGAGAGAGATAGAAAGGGAGAGAGAGAAAGAGAAAGAAAGAGAGAAAGGGAGAGAGAGAAAGGGAGAGAGAGAAAGGGGGAGAGAAAGGGAGAGAGAGAAAAAAGAGGGAGAGAGAGCCTTACCTAAAAAAGAGAGAGAAAGAGAGAGAGAAAGGTAGAGAGAAAGAGAGAGAGAGAAAAAGGGAGAGAGAGAGAAAGAGGGAGAGAAAGGGAGAGAGAGAAAGGGAGAAAGAGAGAAAGAGAGAGAGAGAGAGAGAGAGAAAGGAGAGAGAAAGAGAGAGAAAAAGAAAGAGGTGAGAAAGAGAGAAGTTGTGAAGGACCATAACAGTTGAAAAAAGCAATAGATAACTGTCAATCATTTCCCGCCCAACTGGCAGGAACCGTAGCAAAAAAGTATCGAATAACCGCTGTCCGTTTCTTCTTGTCCGAAGAAATGCCACTTCCTGCGATTGTTCCACTCTGTGAAGACACTCGCAGACTCTGAATGGAACCATTTATATTCTTAAGACGACTGAATTCCCATGATGTTTCCTCAGTATTCATTCGGCGAACAAAACCTAATTTGTTTTTTTTTATGAATGTACACCGTACCAAATAACATGACACCTGTAGCCATAGACAACAAGTTATTTCCCCTTGAATCCCTAAAAATAGCAATAAAAATTAATTATAAATATTCATAAGAAAAAAAAAAAAAAACAATCACCTGACTTGACGAGAGCCGAACAAGATATTGCTGGGCGGGAAAATCAATCTCTCTCTTTTGTTCCGGGCAGTTAAGTTATCAAAGACACATGCATTTCAGACTCGTGACAAACCAAACAGATAAGTACAAACATTCATGAATTTGTATTAAGAATTTCAAATATAAAATATATATCTGCAAGTGTTTTTGTTGATTTCAGTCGCAGGGAATATATATTTATTTTGTAAAAATTACAAAATTGTGGCACTAGGCCAAAGGGGGAGTGGAAAAAGGTTAGTATTCACTGACTATCCTCGTCAAATTAATTACAATCACGACCCATTCATTCAATACAATATGCTCAATCAGCATAAGAACTTGTCCATCACCTCCCAATCCCTACACGTACCACAAGTTTTACAAACATTTGAATTTGTTAAAAAATTTCAAATATAAAATATATAATGCAAGTGTTTTTGTTGTTTCAAAAGGGAATATATATTTATTTTGTAAAATTAAAATTTGGCACTAGGCCAAAGTGGAGTGGAAAAAGGTTAGTATTCAGATTATAAATGAGAATCAATTACAATCACGACCCAATTATACAATATTTCAGCATAAGAACTTGTCCAAATCCCAATCTACACAACCTCAAAAAGTAAAACATTTGAATTTCAAAATAAATTTCAAATATAAAAATATATACTCTGCAAGTGTTTTGTTGATTTCAGTAGGGAATATATATTTATTTTGTAAAAATTACAAAATTGTACCACTAGGCCAAAGGGGGAGTGGAAAAAGGTTAGTATTCACTGACTATCCTAGTCATAGTTAATTACAATCACGACCCATTCATTCAATACAATATGCTCAATCAGCATAAGAACTTGTCCATCACCTCCCAATCCTACACGACCCACAAGTAAGTACAAACATTCATGAATTTGTATTAAGAATTTCAAATATAAAATATATAAAAGTGTTTATATATCGCAAGAATAATATTTATTTTGTAAAATTACATAATTTTTGTTGGTTAGTACAAATGACTATCCTAGTCAATATATCACGACCCAAAATTCAATTATTTACCCAATCAATAAAAATCCATCACCTCCCAATCCTACAGACCCACAAGTAAGTACAAACATTATGAATTTGTATTATTAGGCCAAATAAAAGTTATAAAAAAGTGTTTTTGTTGATTTCAGTTTCAGACTATATATTAATTTTCAAAAATTACATAATTTGGCATAATTCCAATACCAAATTACAATCACTGACTATCCGAGTCATATTAATTACAATCATGACCCATTCATTCAATACAATATGCTCAATCAGCATAAGAACTTGTCCATCACCTCCCAATCCTACACGACCCACAAGTAAGTACAAACATTCATGAATTTGTATTAAGAATTTCAAATATAAAATATATATCTGCAAGTGTTTTTGTTGATTTCAGTCGCAGGGAATATATATTTATTTTGTAAAAATTACATAATTGTGGCACTAGGCCAAAGTGGGAGTGGAAAAAGGTTAGTATTCACTGACTATCCTAGTCATAGTTAATTACAATCACGACCCATTCATTCAATACAATATGCTCAATCAGCATAAGAACTTGTCCATCACCTCCCAATCCTACACGAATCTGTAAGTACAAACATTCATGAATTTGTATTAAGAATTTCAAATATAAAATATATATCTGCAATACCAAACAAGTCGCAGGGAATATATATTTATTTTGTAAAAATTATCATAATTGAATAAATAGGCCAAGGGGGGAGTGGAAAAGGTTAGTATTTTTTTGACTATCCTAGTCATAGAGTTAATTACAATCACGACCCATTCATTTCAATACAATATGCTCAATCAGCATAAGAACTTGTCCATCACCTCCCAATCCTACACGAACCACATTAAACCCCAATCTGATTCATGAACTTATTAAGAATTTCAAATTTAAAAATATATATAATGCAAGTGTTTTTTTTTGATTTCAGTTTAGGAATATATATTTATTTTGTAAAAATATACATAAAATTGTGGCACTAGGCCAAGGGGGGAGTTACAAAAATTAAGTATTTGACTATCCTAGAAAATAGTTAAAGAATCACGACCCATTCATTCAATACAATATGCTGTGTTCAGATAAGAACTTGTCCATCACCTCCCAATTTACACGAAGGACCAAGTAAAACAAACATTCATGAATTTGTATGCAAAATTTCGAATAAAATATATATCTTTTTTTTTGTTGATTTCAGTCCAGGGAATATATATTTATTTTGTAAAAATAAGACTTTTTTGGAAAAGGTTAATATTCAATAAATCCTAGTCATAATTAATAACAATTACAATTGATTTATAAAGCCAGTTTAGTTTGTTAACATTTTGCATTCTTACCATTAATTTTCTCAATTATTGTCTCTTGCTTGATATTAACAATTTTTGCCCTGTTCTTTTTTCTTTTATTGTAAACTTTGTTAGTTTGTCGGACAGTTCCATTATTTATTTTGCATTTAACCATGGCTACTCATTCCACACTTGAGAACAAAACATGAGCTACATTCTAAGGAAATACAAAAAACAAGTTTTTTTTTAATTTATAGACCTATTTAATATACTTTTTAGATTAATACCACAAATAAGTTTAGTAGAAAATGATTCAATTTATGACCTATCAAGAGATATAAACTTTTAAAACTTCTGCCATATTGATATGATTTTGATAGATATGAACAGATAGATAGATAAATAGATAGATAGGTATGAATAGACTGAGATAAATATAATTGTTGTATTGTTTTGTTCAAGACACATGATCAGTAGTTAACGTCTTCCTTGACTCTTAGTTTCCGACACACAAATGCATGCTGGGATTTTTTTCTTAGCCAATAAAATAGGCCGGCTTGCAGTTTGACATGATTCAGTCCTGATCTGCCTTGTCTAAAAGTTAGAAGACTACATTTGTTTGTCCAAACTTACTTTTGTGAGTCAACGCCAATTCTTAGTATATGAATTTTTTGCCTTCTTACCTGTTAATTTGCTTCGCATATATTGTCGATATTATTTCATTTTTGCCCCTGTTCCCTTTTTTTTATTGCAAGCTTTATTAATTCTGATTGATGGACAGTCGTGTTATTTATCTTGCATTTAACCATGGATACTCACTCCACAATAATCATGTATTCTACATTCTTATAGTTGATGTTTAGTCCTATTTTATCGTTTTCCTTTACTAACTTGTAAATGAGAGACAAACCTATTAGTGGCAAGGTTACCAAGTGTTTTATGCTGACACAATTGCATAATTTTTTAAATTCTGATCATTCACTGAATTCAAATTTCAATATCTTTAAATTCTCACTTAATTAGATCACTCAAATATTTTCTTAGTGGTAAACAGTAAAAGAAATGAAATTCGATATTAAAATTTTCCTCCTGTATCCTAGATTCTTTAAACAAGGAATAAAAGCATTACTTTTATAATTGGCTTTTGTTATTCTTAATAATAATAATAATGTTGTTGATGAATAAATTTAACTTTTGTTTCATTTAAAACCAAGCTATCTATTTTCTCTTCTAAAATTCAACATGACTTTTTAACCAAGCTCATAATAAACTAATCAATAAGAATTATTGCTATTAAATCCATTTCAAATGTGTTTTCCTCTATTTTGTTTTGCATGGAAAGATAAAGCTAAACAACCTTCAGTCCCTTCCATTACCACCTGAGACAAACCCAGACATAAGCAGTTGGTTCCAATCTTACTGAGAATGACTGCAAAATACTTTCTGCTCCACACAAATGCATGCTGGGATTTCTTTCTAGCTGATTCTTAGTCTATCTTGTCTTGAACTCAGAACGTAATATTCACTTGTCCAAATTTGCTTTTGTGTATCAACACCAATTCTTTGTTTATGAACTTTTTGCCTTCTTACTGTTAATTCACCTTGCATATATTGTTTGCTTGCTTTATATTATTTTTTGCCCCTTTTACTTTTTCTTGCAAACTTTGTCAATTCTGTTTGTTGGACTGTTCTGTTATTTATTTTGTATTTGACAATGGCTACTCGCTCCACAGATTTTATACGAAGACCTGTGTTTTGGGCCTGTCTATATTTCTGAGATGAGGTATTATGCACATTATTTACGAACAACGACGAACTTCTCAAGAAAATAGAAGAAAAAGGAAACTTATACTTAACACCAGGATGCGACAGTTGAATTTCTGGGACGCATAATGAGGAAGGAGTGCTTGGAAAATTTGATACTCACAGGACAGCTTGAAGTCAAGAGGGACAGATGAAAACAATCCATAGCTTACTTGACGAGCTTTAGTAAATAGATGGTGGAACAGGATTTAGTAGGAATAAAAAAGAGACAAAATTTATTAAGAGCTACAAAGGACAGGAAATTGTGGAGAGCCATGATTGCTTACCTCCTGAGGAAACACGGTACACGAAGAAGAAGAAGAAGAAGAAGAAGAAGAAGAAGAAGAAAGTGGACATTCATGAGTCTGTCGCATCATGGTCCTGCATCAAGGTCAAAAGGTCATTAGGGAGGCATTCTGTGTCATAACATAGCTGGCCAATGCAGGTGGTTTCTGGGTGACAGCCCGTCTTGTACCCATGGGGAGATGTCCAGGCTCGCAAGTTCTTGTTCTGCTCGCTAGCAGTGTCCTGCAAAGCGCATTCTGCGTTAATCATGCTATACTCTGTAAAAAAATTCTCATAGATTGAAGAAGTAGTCGAAGAGTTTATTAAGGCATGGAAAGTTCTCGGTCGAACTATATTCCTTGGTGCCGCCAGTTGTAACTATCGCGCTGAGGACCGGCCATGCCATTCACATTGTAGCAAACCATCCTCATTTCGTCCGTATTCCATTGGTGAGAAGGCAGTGCCACTCGAACAGAGTCTTCCCGCGAACCGACTCCCAGAACAATGTTTCCCCGATCACTACAATCTTAACCTGTTCAAGTCTGGGGTTAATCGTTGTTTTTCCCTCCTATCTGCATAAACTGCCTCATATTCTGTAACACTCTACCTCGAATGACCCCGGGCCTTGTATATAGTGAACACCACTGAAAAAAAAAATGGGATAAATAGCTAAGAATGACGTGTTTTTAATGGAATAAAAATATGAGAATGACTCCTTTTTAATGCGATAAAAAGAAGAGAATGACTTTTTTAATGGGATAAAACGCCGAAAATGACATTATTAATGGGTCTACAAAAGAAGCTGGTAATGACATTTTAATGGGGTAAAAAAATGAGAATGACTATTTTTAATGGTACAAAAATCTGAAAATGGCGCTTTTTAATGGAATAAACTGCTGAGAATGATGTTTTAATTGGGTAAAAAGCTGAGAAGGATGTTTTTTAACGGAATAAATAGCCGAGCATGGCGCTTTTTAATTGAATAAAAGTTGAGAATGATATTCTTTTAATGGCATAAAACCTGAGAATGGCGTATTTAATGGGATTTAAAAAAGGTGAAAAATGACGGATTTTAATGGGGTCAAATATTATAATTACGTTATTTAATGGTGTAAAATGCTGAGAATAGCGTTTTTTAATGGGATAAAAAATAGAATTACGTTGGAAGAAAACCGTAGAATAAAATAGATATTATTTTGATTAAATAAAAGTGTTTCTTTGTTTATCTTTCCACTCATTAAAGTTCACATGAGACAACTTACGGGTAGGAACCTGCGGGACGATTTGATGAAGGTAAAATGGCCTGACCAGTCCTGGGAATATAAATTCGGGTTGAAAGGTCTTTTTTTAATTTGGTTTTTTTCTGACTTGGCTTGTGAGCTTTTTCTGAGAGCATCTCTTTTTCCAGTATTCGTTCTTTGCACTGAGATGGAGGAATCTGTTGTGAAACGCCCCCCCCTTCGCTGCGTGGTCTTACACCTGCCGTGTAAGGCTACATAGTCGAACCCAGGGGGAAACAGGTGTTTTTTTTTCCAACGGAATTTCTTCATTGCTTAAAAAAAACAAAACCTGATTATGTGTTTATTAGCTGGTATACGAACGGTGATTTAAAGAAAACAATATAATTATATATATATATATATATATATATATATATATATATATATAGAAGAGAGAGAATGAGAGAGAGATGAGAGATTGATTTTCAAAGATAAAGACTAAAAGATATACAGAAAGAAAAAGAGATAAATAGAGACAGAAAAAGAAAAGAATTATATTTTTCAGAGAGAGAGAGAGAAAGTAAGATATAGATCGTTATAGAGAGAAAGAAATAGAAAGAGTGAGATAATAAGATAGAGAGAGAAGGGAATAGATAGAAAGAGAGTAAGGGATAAAAAGAATAAGAGAGATTAAGAGAGAGTAAGAGAAAGTAGGAGAGAGAGCATAAGATCGAGAGAGACAGTAAAACATAGACAGAAAGCGAGAGGTGATAAGAGAGATAGTGAGAAGTACATAGTGAGATAGAGAGTAAGAGAGAGTGAAAGAGACTGAGAGTAATATATATATATATATATATATATGTGTGTGTGTGTGTGTGTATATATTATAAATTAATTGATTTAAAATATGTTTTTTTCGCTACACAGTTCTAACCATGTTTCAAAAATGGAAGCTAAAAGCCCCGAATTTAATTTTGTAATTAAATTAAAGACATTAGTTCCATATCTCTTTATCGTTAAGAAATAAATAGGTAGGTCGAGAGATAGAGACAGAGAGAAGCAGAGCGAGAAAGAGTGTGAGAGAGAGAGAGAGAGAGTAATATATATGTGGAACCCCGTTAAAAAATTGTAGAAAAATTCAATAGTTTTAATATCAATAAAAACCCCATCTGACACATTTTTGTGAAAAACAGGCTCCTGATTTGTATTTCCACACTCGCATTTATTAACCAATCAGCGAGTTTATCTCAAACGTTCTTAAGACCTTTGAAATTTCAGACGACCATGTTTGTTGTCTGCTACGAAATTTGAAAGCTCAATCTAGAAAATAATCAATATTTCCTTTTCTTCAAATAGTTACCTGAAAGGACACTGCACGTAAAAGGAAAAATGCAGCCAGCGTAAGTTCTGGATCATTTCACTACCCTTGCCACATATGTCAAAGTTACCTGGCAGTTCCAACATTTTTTTGTCGTGGCGTACTTTATCAAATGGTTTTTCATAATCTATAGAACATAGGTATACATTCTTCTGCATTTGTATTGCTCTGTTCGATATCATAATGAGCATAAATATTGCATTACTTGTTCCAGTGTCTTTAACGAACCCGCACCGTTCTTGTCCTATTTCAGATTTGATTCTGCTTTGCGCTCTTTTCATCAAAATTCAAATATGTTTTGTTATATGTTAAGAAATGGACAAGGTCCGACAATTTATTTATTAAAGACATTTTTTATGTTTAACGTATACGGAACCGTCATATACGCTAACGTGCCTTAACCGTTACGGTAGACAAGGTCGAATTACTGTTTATAAACTTCAATCTTAAGGCACGTCAGCGTATATGACGGTTCCGTATAGGATGCAGGTTCGAATCCTGTCAAAGAACGAATATTTTCTATGAAAATTTCTCGGACATTCACAAAGATTGGTAAATGTTATTTAATACTGTTTATCATAAACAGAGCATTTGCTTAAATACTTGTATCTATAAATAACAACGTTAAACATAAAAAAAATGTCTTTAATAAATAAATTGTCGGACCTTGTCCATTTCTTAACATATGACGTCATTTGTTTACATTCGATACGCCAGAGCAGTTATGAATGTACGAGATTCATGGAAGATTGAAGTTATAAACAGTAAATTCGACCTTGTCTACCGTAAGGTTCTTTGTGGCCGAGACGGTTAAGTCACGTCAGCGTATATGACGGTTCCGTATAGGATGCAGGTTCGAATCCTGTCAAAGAGCGAATATTTTCTATGAAAATTTCTCGGACATTCAGGCCGTAAATGTTATTTAATACTGTTTATCATAAACAGAGCATTTGCTTAAATACTTGTATCTATAAATAACAACGTTAAACATAAAAAAATGTCTTTAATATATAATGTTTTGTTATATGGCTTATTAGGCTGATTGTTCGATGGAGTTCGCATTCGTTTGCATCTGGCTTCTTATGAAGTGCTATAAAAATAGATCTACTTAGGTCGTCCGGTATATCATCACATATTTATTATGTCTGTTTAATTCAAATATACAGTAAATTGACTTGGATCATCAGGGAGTTTCGTGTCTTTCAACATCATGCACACCGTCACCAAGTCGACCCAATCAGGGGAGATCAATCCCTGATTCCCCCTCGCAATCAAACGGTAGCAGATCCTCTGGCACTTTTAATGAATTAGACGAAAATAGACCACGTTTTCCGCAGATACGATTGGGTATTTGAAACAACCAATCCACTGCAGGAACTATCTTTTAAATGGTCCTCGGTGGGGACTGGCTTCTTTTTCTTTTTTTTTTTCGGTGGATAACAGTCTCAATGGATAACTAAGGAAGTAATTTAACGTTCTTAAATTGAAACCTTTTTGTTATTTTATAGGTATGGTTTCTGTTATAGGACCTTACCCATAATAACATAATGGACTATTCCATACGTAATAAATACTGCGCCTCAAGAGGAAGCAGGGAGTTCAGTCCGAAGTCGGGCGACCGGCTGATCGGCTGATCGGTTGAACTCTCTGCCTTCGGGCGGGGAGGAACGCGAACGAGGCTACGCCGAAGGGCGGAGTCTCTTTTGGGGAGGTAAACCGACCCTGTCCGGTTTATACGGGTTCAAAGGGCATATTTTTGGCCGAGCCCACGGGCTCGGAGATCCCACGTTAAACCGGCCTTGTGCCACATGCCCTCGTGGTGGGGTGTGACTAAATACCGTTCAGTCTGACGTCTGAAGTGAAGTCCGTCAGGAGTCTGTCAGTTAGTCAGAGCGAGCGAGTCAGTCAGTCGAGTCAGAGGCAGTCCGAAACAAGAGTCGCGTTTAGACAATTAATACTAAACCTGATTGTTCGTACTAACTCTTTCTACTTCTCTGTATATATTCCTGTTTGTAATATATCTGTGTTATTCCATATCCGTATTCGAGTTCTTCTTTATTGGTTCTACCTTGGACTATCACCGTAGTACAAGGAACCGGACCATAACAGTTTTATGCCTTACTCTAAATATTTACGGTTTTGTTTTTATTTTTAGTTGTGGTGGTCGACTTAAACTCGGTCCTACTGTTACATTTTTATCGTTTAATCTGATCCTTAACATTAATCCAGGCCAGCTATCTTCTAACTGGGCGTATTCTCAACTTTCATATGATTGTACATGATTTTATCCTGTGATTCTGTTACTATTGTCCGAATAATGTAGATAGTGTACATAATACCTCATCTCAGAAATATAGACAGATACTGAAGGGCGGAAACGTTGTAATAAATATGGCGACAAAGATGAGAACAATAGTCCGAATAATGTAAATAGTGTACCTCATCTCAGAAATATAGAAAGATACTGAAAGGCCGAATCGTTGTAATAAATATGGCGACAAAGATGAGAACAATAGTCCGAATAATGCAAATAGTGTACCTCATCTCAGAAATATAGAAAGATACTGAAAGGCTGAATCGTTGTAATAAATATGGCGACAAAATGAGGACAATAGTCCGAATAATATAAATAGTGTACATAATACCTCATCTCAGAAATATAGACAAAATACTGAAGGGCCGAAAAGTTGTAATAAATATAGCGATGACAAAGATGAGGGACAATAGTCGAATAATGTAAATAGTACATACATAATATCATCATCTCAAAAATATGGACAGATACTGAAGGGCATTGAATTTTTTGTAATAAATATGGCGACAAAGATGAGGGACAATATTCCGAATAATATAAATAGTGTACATAATACCTCATCTCAGAAATATAGACAGATACTGAAAGGGCCAAAACGTTTGTAATAAATATGGCGACAAAGATGAGGACAGTAGTCCGAATAATGTAAATTTTTTTACATAATACCTCATCTGAAAAATATGGACAGATACTGAAAGGCCGAAACGTTGTAATAAATATGGCGACAAAGATGAGGACAATAGTCTGAATAATGTAAATAGTGTACATAATACCTCATCTCAGAAACATAGACAGATACTGAAAGGCCGAAACGTTGTAATAAATATGGCGACAAAGATGAGGACAATAGTTCGAATAATGTAAATAGTGTACATAATACCTCATCTCAAAAATATAGACAGATATTATTATTATTATTATAATTATTATTATTATTTCTATCGGAAAATGTTTTATTTTTTCCGTTTTTTCCAGCTACTTTATTGTGCGTGCTCTAAATTTCTCAATATGTAAATTACAAATTATCTAAGGCTGATAACAGCTTTATTTACATTGTTCGGATTATTGTCCGACTAATGTAAATAGTGTACATAATACCTCATCTCAGAGATATAGACAGATACTGATAACAGCTCGATTACGATTTCGTCTGGTCCTGCTACTTTGTTTCTGTTCATTTTTACCATTGCTGATTCCACTTCCGATTTTAATATTTCTGGTAAATATTTCGTTATTTCCGAAAAAATGATTTCATTGTGGAAGAGTTCTTCGATGTATTCTACCCATCTCTGATGTATTTTTATTTTTTTAATATCAGTGTCCCGTTCTTGGATTTGATGCATCCTGTTGATAAGCACGTCTTTTGCTGTGTTAGTTCTCTTATTTGGAAATGTTCTGTATTTACTAATTCCACACCATAAATTTTTATGATCGATTCAGGACACGCGTCGTCACTGCTTTCATTCCAATTCCAGTTTCTGTTTTTCGAAAAGTTTATTAAACGACGTCGTTTATATATAGAGTGAGGGGCTTATATTCTCATGTTTCCTTTCAATTCTTTCCTTTTTGTTACAATGCTGAATAAAATATTGGGTTTGATTAACACAATTTAATGTAAATAAATGGTAAGACAATCCAATTTGTTGTAAAAAAAAATAGTATGTAAAAAGTGTTTTACTACTGTTAAATATTTTAGGATGTCCTGCTCTAAAGTTATATTTGAATTGAATCTTTTTTTCTTTTTATGTAAATTCTGAATTATATCTTTGGTTTGGATAACACAATTTGTTATAAATAATCCATACACCGAGTTATTTGAAGTGTTTATTATTTACTAATCAATGTATAAACACCTAGGAAAAGATATCCGTATATTATCCTCATAAATGTGACATATTTACAACCAAAATTATGTTTACTGCAAAAGTTCACAAATCGCAACATTTTTTTGTGTAAACTTTGGAAGATCTGAGTAATCCTTCATAGTCCGTAAATTCAATTTCAGACTCTGTTTATTTCTCGCCTTACTCAGAGCAACGTATCATTTTTTTCTCAAGCGATTACCAAATTCAACAAGATTTGCTCCGAATCGTAACATAAAAACTGCATTAAAACTATCGAATTATTTAATTGTATAAGCTTTTAATTGCTATCATAAATAATTTAAATGAAGGATGTAGGGTGAATAAAAGAAAAAAAACTCTTTCAATGACTAATGAATTATTACAATAATAATGAATTATTATAATAATTGTTTCCCAATCAAATAGTTCGTTGTCAACATACATTTTATAAACACCTAAGTAAAGATATCCATACTTTATCCTCATACATATTTTACATATTTACAACCAAAGCACAATATTTTTGTCTAAACTTTGGAAAGTCTCTGTAATTCTTGATATTTGGTAGATTCAATCTGTAATTCCAGAGTCTACTTATTTCTTGTCTTACTACGAGCAACGTATTAAATTCCACAGGATATCTTCCGAATCGTAACATAAAAACTGCATTAAGTCTATCTAATTATTTAATTGTATAAGCTTTTAATTGCTATCATATATAATATAAATGAAGGATGTAGTGTGAATAAATAAAAAAACTTTGTCGATGACAAATGAATTATTAAAAGAATCGTTCACCCCTCTTTTATTTTAATTATAATCTTTAAAGTTTAAACTGAATTTCTAAAAATGAAGAAGGTATTCTTGAAGATATATGTGGTGTATTATATAAACGAACCCTCTTCGATAGCGATATCAGTACGCGTCAACGGGACCAAGTTTGAACGATACCGGGTGGTTCATCGTTATTTTGCACATTCCCCCTCAATAGTTAATGTGATGTATTATATATATATATATAGATTCCATAACCTGAATTTTTATGAAGAATTCAGGGAATGTAGCTTCAGTTGTTTTATCCCAATTCAAGGACGTTGTTTCCGTTTTTCCTTAAATTGACATCGTTCGTCCTCTTTTTTTTTATTTCTAAATCAATTGTTGTATGTCATATAGTTGTTACGTCGGTAATATTAACACTTGGCAATATGCGGAATTAAATCAGCTATGGTAGTACGCGCAGTAGTAGCAGTTAGAACAACGGAATCTTCATCTTCGAGACTACGGTTCCAAGTTAGATTCTCGAATTCCAAGATCAGCTGTTACAGTCGTTGTAGTGTTACATTTGATGCTTTTTCAATCTTTGGAGTTGGTTGGTGACGTGGTGGAATAATCATAGTAGTAGTCTTACATTTTTTTTTTCGAGCCAGTGCTTTGTTTGCATTAATTCGCCTGATATGCTATTATTAATTCTTTGGAAGCGAGATTAGTGCTGCTACTAGTTCTAGTAAGATCGACTCGAAAATGTTTTCTTTTTATTGGTAATAGCAGCGGGAAGTAATTTATAAACTCTCTTGTGAGATCGTTTGAATTCCTGGATGAAGACACAGATGATTTTCGCCAATTCTGAAGCAAAATCGACATTTTCTTTCTTTCTTTTTTAACTTTTCTTTTTTGTTAATATTTTTTTCTTTTTTTTTTTTTTTTTTTTTTCATTACCGCGTTTTATTCAGGTTGGATAATTCGATCTTCCATTCAACCTTTCTCTGATTTCCTAATGTCTTTTATTCGCTCATATTTCTTTCTTTGTTTCTTTCATTCAATCAATATTTCCTTCAAATTTCCTTCTTTGTTTTATTTCTCATTCTTTTCTAGTCATTCTTTCTTTCTTTCTTTCTTTCTTTCTTTCTTTCTTTCTTTCTTTCTTTCTTTCTTTCTTTTATCGCTCATTCTATTCTAGTCATTCTGCCCTCATTTCTTTCTTATATTTCTCATTCTATTCTAGTCATTCATTCATTCATTCATTCATTCATTCTTTCTTTCTTTCTTTCTTTCTTTCTTTCTTTTATCTCTCATTCTTTTCTAGTCATCCTTTCCTTCTTTCTTTCTCTCTTTTATTTCTCATTCTATTCTAGTCATTTTTCCATTCTTTGTTTCTTTGTTTGTTTCTTTCTTTTATTTCTCATTCTTTTCTAGTCTTTCTTTCTTTCTTTTTTTCTTTCTTTCTTTCTTTTTTTTTTCCTTTCTTTTTTTCTTTTCTTTCTTTCTTTCTTTCTTTCTTCATCCTTCCATCCATTTTTTTCTTTCTTTCCTGGCCTATTCTTTTCTTTCTTTCTTTCTTTCTTTTCTTTCTTTCTTTCTTTTTTTCTTTTTCTTTCTTCATCCATCCATTTTTCTTTTTTCTTTTTTTTTTTCTTTCTTTTTTGGCCTTTCTTGGAATTTTTTCTTTCTTTTTTCCATCCATCCATTTTTTCTTTTCTTTCCTGGCCTTTCTTTCGAAGGTTTTTCTTTCTTTCTTTCTTTCTTTCTTTTCTTTTTTTTCTTTCTTGGCCTATTCTTTACATTCTTTCTTTTTTTATTTATTCATCCATCCATCTATCCTTTTTTTTCTTTCTTTTCTTTCTTTTTTTCTTTCTTTCTTTCTTTTTCTTTTTTCTTTCTTTCTTTCTTCATCCATCCATCCATTCTTTCTTTCTTTCTTTCTTTTTTTTTCTTTCTTTCTTTCTTTTTTTCTTTCTTTCTTTCTTTCTTCATCCTTCCATCCATTTTTTCTTTCTTTCCTGGCCTATTCTTTCTTTCTTTCTTTCTTTTGTTTCTTTCTTTCTTTCTTTCTTTTATCTTAGACTCAACATCTATCTATCAGTCCGTTTCTATCTATCTATCTATCTATCTATCTATCTATCTATCTATCTATCTATCTATCTATCTATCCTACACTCAACATCTATCAGCCCGTTTCTTTCTTTCTTTCTTTCTTTCTTCCTTTCTTTCTTTCTTTCTTTCTTTCTTTCTTTCTTTCTTTCTTTCTTTCTTTCTTTCTTTCTTTCTTCCTTCCTTCCTTCCTTCCTTTCTTTTTCTTTCTTTCTTGTTCTATTCTCGTCATTCTTGCCTTCTTTTTTTCTTCTCACTTCTCTTTTTTTCTCTCTTTCTTATTTCTCATTTATCTTTTTTGTTCTTTTCTTCTTCTTTCCTTTTATTACCCTATTTCTTTCTTTCTTTTTTTTCTTTTTCACGTTTTCACGGAGGAGTGTGAACCATTCTATAGACGAACCTATTTACCTCTCTTGTTTTTATCAGTTATTTTCTTTTTCTCTTTTATGTTTTTATCTTTATTATTTCTCATTTCTTTCTTTGCTGCCTTTTCTCTATTATTGAGAATTGGTTTGTTTCCTTCTTACTTTGTTTCTATTTTTATTACACGTCTATGTTTATTAAATATCTACATTTATTACGTGTCTATTTTTATTACGCGTCTATTTTTATTGCATATTTATTTTTATTACATATCTGCTTTTATTACGTGTCTATTTTTATTACGTATCTAATTTTATTAGGCGTCTATTTATATTGCGTATTTATTTTTATTACGTCTCTGCTTTTATTATGTGTCTGTTTTTATTACGCATCCATTCTTACTGCGTGTCTATTTTTATTACGTATCTAATTTTGTTAGGTGTCTATTTTTATTGTATATTTATTTTATTATGTACCTGCTTTTATTACGTGTCTATTTTTATTTCTTATTGTGTGTCTATTTTTTATTACGTATTTATTTTTATTACATGCCTATTTTTTATTTGGTATCTTTTTTTATTGCGTGTCTGTTTTTATTGCGAATCTATTTTATTATGTGTTTCTTTTCAATCCCTATATATTTTTACTACGTCTCTATTTTTATTACGTATCTATTTTTATTACGTGTCTCTTTTTATTACCTATCTTTATTTATTATGCCTCTATTATTATTATTATTATTATTAATTAAAGTTTTTATTTTTATTACGTATCTATTTTTTATTACGTCTTTATTTTTATTACGTGTCTGTTTTATTTATTATTTCTGTCTTTCTTCCCTTCTTTCCCTATCACGTTTTTTTTAAAATATTTTACTTCTCGTTTCTTTCTTTTTCTCTTTCTTTTCGATGTATTTTCTCTTTCTTATTTTTCATTTCTATCTTTTTTTTTTCATTCTTTCCTTTTTTCTTTAACTTTTACTTTATTTATCTTCTTATTTTATTCCATTTGTTAGAAATTACTTTCTTTTTCGAATTTATATATTAATTACTGTCATAATAATAACAATAAGAATAATAATAAATACAGTTTTCGGACTATAACAACCAATATTTTTGAAATGAGGAATTATTATAAACTGACTTTTAGACTTAAAATTTCCAATGTCCGCTTTTGGACAATGGTCTCATAGATTGGTTAAATGCAATTGTATAAAGTCAATGAGTTCATTCCACAGATCAGGCAGCAGAAAGATTAGAAACAATATCTAATTATACGAGATATTACCTAAAATAGACCGAGATTTTTTTTTAAAGCGGTATCATCCCATTGCATGGTAGTAAAGCCACCATGAGACAAGGAATTACAGAATTACGAACAGAAACATTTCTAATGATCGGGAAGAGGAAAGAGTAATCAGATGGAAATTAGACAGCGTTTGACATCGCATTTCAATTTTTGGGAGATTAAAGTTGGCTGGAGAGCATAGAGCCGGAAGAGTGTTCCACAAACGAGAAGTGCGAGAAAAGAAACTGTTAGCATAGAATTTACAGCTACATCTAGCCTGCTCAATTGATGAGATCTCTCGACACCAGTCTAGTAGTGCGCTGAAATTCAAAAGTCTAGGTACCATGGCGAAGAACTCTTCCGAACAATTACCATCAAAGTATTTATAGAAAAGACACAGGGAGGCAATCTTACGGCGGTGGGGAAGTGACTGAATCCGAGCCGCCAGATCAGGACCCATAATATTGCTGATTCTTCTTTGGATCTTATCAAGAAGCTCAAAGTAAATAGCAGCGGCATCGGACCATATGTGGCAGCAATATTCTAAGCATGGACGAATAGTAAACTTATAGATAGGTGTGAATACAGATCATGGCATTGGAAAATAAGTACAATCCGGTATTAGTATAATCTATCTATCTATCTATCTATCTATCTATCTATCTATCTATCTATCTATCTTTTTAAATTTTTTTTGGAATAACTTATTTCTGAAATTTACGTGTTTTAATAGCCTATTCATTATTGAAATAAATAAAAAATTTCGCTTGAAGATGGAACAGAGCTTACTTTAATTCAATTTAATTCAAATAATTATATTGAAGTTTTCGGCTCTTGTTTTGAAACATGAGAACTCTTATGTAGCGTGTTGGAATCATATTTTTAAATAAATAAATAAAAATCCACTTTCATCCCTACCGTTCGCCGACGGCTTAATGGTTAGAATCTCTGACTGACACCAATTCAGTCGGGTTTTGATCCTAGCTAGAGGCAACCGGATGTCTAGCCACACTGATGAGCTGCGAAACAGTCTGTCTGTGGATGACTATATATATATATATATATATATATATATATTAGTACGCAATAAAATATTGGTGGTCACTTAATTGTAGTAATCTTTTCCATTTAGTAAATATCGTTTTTATTTAATAACGATATCACCAAACTGATATAAATTAGTACAGAAATTTAACAGATTTAAAGCTTAATAAATTGTTCTAATTAAATTTTGATAAAAACGAAAACAATTTTAGTTAAAATTCATTATTCATCGAAAAAATTTTATTCTTAAGATAAATCGTGTCCATAATATTTTTGGTTTATAAAAGCAATTAAAATCTTTTCTAATTAAACAATGTCATTGCATGTTTTTAGTTTACGATTCAGACCAGATTTTCGATAATTGTGGATTCTATTTTACAAAAAAAAAATATCCTGATTTAATTCTCCAAGGAGTTCTACTTCTAACTTATATAAACATTAAGTGATACAAAAATTAATTTCTCGAAATTTTATAAAATTAAATAAATGTTTCACAGACGTAAAAAAATAGTTTTATGAAGATTTTCTAAAAAAAAGAAAGATTTCATAAATGATTTAATTCATTTGTAAATAAGTCAGAAAAGTTTCATTAAAATCCAAGAATTATTTGATTTTTGCAAAAATTTCAAAATCAATGTGATTTTACCGTAAAAAAAAAAAAAATGATGGTCTCACGTTGACGCATAAAAAAAAAAAAAAAAATAACCAAAATTTCAAATGTTCTAAAAAGGATTAAAATATATAATTTAATAATCAAAACATTCACTATTTACATCTATCGTCCTCATCTTTGTTGCCATATTTATTACAACGTTTCGGCCGTTCTACGCTCCGGCCTTCTTCAGTTGGTAGGAATGTCGAATTGAACCCTTTATTTTGCTCACTGGGGTAGACTGTTCTAGTTCCACATGCCATGTCTAATGGATGTCATTTATCAGTTATCTCTTGTTAATCCCCCTCTCCAAGTTCTCCACCGCCTTAATCAGGTATTGAACTCAGACTCTTTGGGTCCTGTCACTGGATCTAACTAACGCCTTTATCCACTGCGCCAAGTGTCCTTTTTTTAATTTCTGGGACTTATAAGCCTAATGTATTCAGCAACCATTTTTACCAGTGCTCATATTGCAATTTTTGCTGCTATCGTCATGTTTTTACCAGAGCTCATATTGCAATTTTCTTTGTTATTATTGCTTTTCTCTGGCACACCTTATTACTGGTTCCCATATTGTATTCATTTCTATGCTTGGTCGGCTCAGGATATTTTTTCTCTCGTGTTACAGTTTTTTGGTGTTCTTGAAGCCTTACTTTAAGACCCCCAATAGAGGAGAATATGACTAAAGACTGTGTGTAAACCATCCCGTGCAGCTGAGGAAGGAAATATAAAGGGGAGACAGGCCACCCTCAAGATAATGCTGAAATGTAAATAGTGTACATAATACCACATCCCCAGAAATATAGACAGCCAAAACATTCTTTGGTCTTTCCTCTTAAACATAAATATTTTAACGAATAAGCTTTGATTTTATTAAGTTTTCGGTAATTTTTTTATCATGGCATGCTTATTTTAGGCGAATACTTTTATAATTGGGCGGTTTTGTAATGTCGGCAAATACTCGTTGTCACTTGCGTAATGCTCGTTGTAGTAGAGACTTTGTAATCGCAGATACAACTATAGTAACGCCGTTGAACAATACTGGTGTCAGACGCCTTCGAATATCACTCACACTAATAGTACTTGCTCGATAATACTCACTCGAAACGTAACCACCGAATTCTTTCTTTTTATGTCGTGTCCTTTCAGCACGTAGGCGATCATAGCCCTCCACTTCCCCCTATTCCTTGTGGCTCTCAACAGGTTTTGTATTTCTGAAAACTCACCAGACCACGTTCCGCCATCCGCTTGCCCAAGCCAGCCACGTATGTCATGCTCTGCTTTCCCCTGTCTCATTTTCCCTCTATTCGCCTTGTGAGTATCAGATTCTCCAGGCCCTCCTTTCTCATCACGTCTCCCAGAAATTTCATCTAACTCTTCCTTATGTTAAGCATAAGGTTCCTCCTTGTTTGCATCCTCTCCAAGACCTCATCGTTGCTCACATGCCCAGTCCATGACATCCTCAGCATCTTTCTGTAGAACCAAATCTCCGCCGATTCGAGTCTCTTACCGTATAGGGATCAGTATATAGAAATAGTATAGAGAATAGCGAATTCTCGTCGCCACTTTTGTGATGTCAACGAACATTCCTTGCCACTTTAGTAATGCTAAAGAATACTCGTTGTCACTTGCGTAATTCTCGTTGTAGTAGAGACTTTGTAATCGCAGATACAGCTATATTAACGCCGTTGAACAATTCTGGTGTCAGAATAGTAACCACCAAATAGTAATCCGTATAGTGATCAGCATAGAGAAATAGTGTAGTAAATAGTATAGAGAATAGTGATCCGAATAGTAATAGAAGATAGAGTAGACATGGTGATCAATTAGACGGCACGCTAATTCCCATATCTATTTCCTTTGCAATCTATCACGTGATTTACTTATTCAAAATGGGATCGCCTCTGTTTGCTCACTGGCGATCTATGCTCAAGCTACAGTGTCGACAGCGACACTTTACTCCTATACAACAGGCGGGTTTTGATTCCTAGGTTCTTGGGCTAAAAATATATCTCTAGACCTTCTAGGGGAGTTCTTTTTCACTTAATACTATTGTATTATTATACTTATGTTCAATTAATATCATTATAAGCAATTTCATACCAAAAATGATGCGTAGCTATTGTTGGGGAACAGCTGACAACAGTTCAGAGATTCCTTTTAATATCAATGAATTGCCATAGCTTCTTAGGAAAGATAATGGAGTGTACAGGAAAAGTGTGTGAAAAGCGAAGAAAAGAAATAATCTTCAAACACATCTGTACAAAATGAAATAATTTTATTACTGCGTATAAAAATGCTTTTGAAGTTGAAAGAAATAAGTTATAAAGTTCCTCACAAACAAAGTTCATATGAAAAATATTTTGTTTTTCTTTTTACAAGAGAAAATATATGAATTGTGTTAGTATAGGGTGAAAAGTATATGTGAATTCATTATGCGAAAATCCACGATTTACATTATGTATGTGTAGGATGTAATTTCATCAGCAGCCCATAATACTTGTACTATGACTGCTGCTGCAATTAGACCAAGTCTCGCTTGGGCACTTTTTCATAATTTAAACTGTGCAAACTGTTTTATGAAAATACTTTCAAAGCGAAAATTAATTTTCAAAAAAGAAACTTAATACTCAATAAGTTAATTTGAGTATGCGAAAATTTGAATATTCAGTATTATTTACATCCCTTGATCGAAGATATACTAAAAGACTAAAGGCTATTATTAATTTAAGTTACGCTATTTATAAGAAAAAAAAAACGGATCTCAGGAAGTTAAAAGTTAGATTTACTCGACTCAGAAGTTTTATTGGTTAAATATAGTTCCCAATTTTTTATTTCGATTTTTAAGAGGGAAAAATTGTTAATCATTTTCTCGTTGTAAGTCTTCAATTTTTCTTGCCAACTGCAAGAATGTTGCCTGCTTTTTCAAAGCTTGCATCACGTCTGAAATAAGGTCGCTGACTGGCTAATAAATGCTGTGGGAATTTAAATTTGAAGCTGATGTGAGCCTATTGCTGGACTAAATTGAATTATCTGTGTGATCCTGCTTTTGAACAGAATTGAAATTTTAGTGAAACTATTTAAATCTATTGAATTTTCTACTGCAAGTTTTAACGGAATTCTTCAGGAAGTGTTTCTCCTTTCAGAATATATGTAATCATGGGCCTCCGACGATTCCTTTTCTTTATTATCTGTGAATTGTCCTGATTTCTTGGAAAATATAATGGAATATGTTCCTGATTTCTTCCCCATGGTCTTGAATTAATAGCTTTTTTCGTTTCAGGTAACAGGCGATATGGCTCTCCACAGATTCCTTTTCTTTATTATCTGTGAATTTCAATGAGTTCTTGAGAAAGATAGGTGAGTGGTTTTCTCGTGACCCTCGTTAGAATTATAGAGTCGAAATACTTTCGTTTTATACGCATTTTAGAATAGAGCGGAAGCCGAACCCAAAAGCGGAAGCCGAATCCAAAAGCGGAAGCCGAATCCAAAAGCGGAAGCCGAATCCAAAAGCGGAAGCAAGTGATAAGCCACTGCTCCTGTTCAAAAGAGCGGGAATAAGTGTGGAACTGGCAAACCTATCTGCTCCTGTTGTGGTAAAAAAATAGTAAATAAGATTTCAGAATTTAAGCGGAGACGTTAGAAGTATAGAGTTGAAATACGTTCGTTTTATACGCATTTTAGAAGGGAGCGGAAGCCGAATTCAGAACAGGAAATAAGGGATAAACCTCTCCTACTGTCCAAAAGACCGGGGAGGAGCGTAAACCGGACGACAATTATTATGTTCTTTCTTATAATATATTTGTACCTTCAGTAAATTTCTATTTACTTTTGCATATTTATTGGACTCGGTTTAAATTGTTTTTATAGCGAGACCAATAGGCTTTATGTTTTACACACTAGATGATTGTCTGTACCATCCATCGTCTCTTTGATTCTTAGGTTTGCATCATGTTTGTGACCACCGCAAATGGCACTATTGTTGCTGCCTCATCAGCCTGTCTTAGAATACTTTTACTACTAACCACTCTATCTGTTTGGTTTAAACCAAATCAACTATTACAACTACTACTAAGACATTGTTCTCATAATATTACTGTTACGACAGCACTTGGCGAAATCACGACTGCTGGCACTAACACTACACCAAAAGTCACCATTACGTTTCACTACAACTACGTTTACAGAGATGACGTCAATCTGCTTTGGGGATTATTGTACCCGTGTTTCGAGTTTGATTTTATTAAGTATGGGATGGTGGTGGCGTAGCGTAGCTTATGTGGTAAAAAGTCCGTACCACCCTTTGCTATTCATCCAAAAATGAGATCTAGAACCCCACTATTCAGTCAAAAATAGATCTAGTCCCCTTTCTTGTTCATACACCACATCGAGTTTGATTTTATCGAAGGGACATCATTATCGTCTTTGGGGTATTGTTACTCTTGTTTGCTGAAATGAAGTGTTTCGAGTTTAATTTTATCGAATGAAAATTTTAGCAGGATCGCCATCATCCTATTAACGTTTAACAGTTACAGCTACTTCACATGCAAAGATGACGTCAATCCACTTTGGGGATTATTGTGTGTATATTTCAAATGTTACGGCAAGAAGAAGAAGGAGAAGGAGGAGGAGGAATAATAATTGAATAATAAAAATATACTTAAGGTCTTTCTTATCTACATTTTCTAAGGCTGAGACCATTTCTTTGATTCCAGGAGAGAATTTGACCATAAATTCTTCAACTGTGTTTATTAAATTCTTCAATGCATTTTGAGCACTTTCGGATTTCGAAAGCCATTATCAACGATTTTTTGTGAGTTGATAGGGGTGTATCTAAAGTTATGCATTGTATTTCATATGTGGTGTTTGACCTTCGCTTGTTAATTGCTTCGAGAATTTCGAATAGAAATTTTTCAAGTATCGTGTCCTCACGAGTTAATTTATGGCGTCGTGCCTCTTTATTTATACGATTTATAAAACAGCACTTCGTTTTATATTTCTGAAAATTCTTTTTGAAGAAAACGTAAAATATGCATATACTCCTCTCCTTTTTTCTTTCTTTTCTTTCCCTTCTCTTGGTAGAAAGGTTGATTTCTTATGCTTTCTTTTTTTTTCTCTCTTTCTTTTTTTATGCTTTCTTTTCTTTCTCTTTCTTTTTCTTATGCTTTCTTTTCTCTTTTTTTTTCCTCTTTCTTTTTCTTATGCTTTCTTTTTTTCCTCTTTTTTTTCTTATGCTTTCTTTTTTTCTCTTTCTTTTTCTTATGCTTTCTTATCTTTCCTCTTTCTTTTTCTTTTTATTGATTTCTTATTTTCTTCCCTTTTTTACTTTAATTTGCTTTTATTTATTTTTATTTTCCTTTTATGGAATATATATATATATATATATATATATATATATATATATATATTTCTTTGCCTTCTATGGGAAATTTTAAAAAAATGTAAAACGAAGTGATGTTTCATAAATCGTATTTAAAAAAAAAAATCTTTTACTACCACCATTGTTAACCGCGTGACGAGACGTCTTTGGACGTCGAAACAAATATGAATTTTGTCGAGGTAACTTGCATGTTCCAATGTAACAGTTTATAATATATATATATATAAATGAAATGAGAACGAATAAAATATAAATCAAAGGTTCATAACATCAATTTAAAATAGGGCTCAATACAATTAAATGCTAGAGCAATATTCTTTATTATAGGAAATTACATTGGAACATGTATAAATATAATAATAAATAATATATATAAAATTATTATATTAGGCGGTAGTACTGCCGCCTGATGAGCTTTGATACTACATATCGAAACATATATATATATATATATATATATGTGTGTGTGTGTGTGTGTGTGTGTGTGTCTGATAGTAATTGATCGAATTTAGAAGAATCCTCAACAGAATGCAGAATGCACTGGACAGCCGTTTCGTCCTATTTTGGGGACTCATCAGCAGTGCGCATCCACTACCGAGATTCGAACCCGAACCGTTTCGATACAGCGCAAGCGTCATAATCCCCCAAAATTCTATTACTTGTAAATCCTTGCTTGACCCAGCTAATTCTCTGCGAAGGAGCGGTTCGGGGGAAAGGAAAAGTCGTGGCTCTTCGGGCACAATCCGTTGTGTTATGAATACTTGAATGAGTATCACCCCGGAATTGGTGAGTATCGGCGCTATATCGAGTCTATTCAGTTCCTTCTACGTCAGCCAGGCCCGTTGGTACACTTGGTATGACGATTGCGTTGTATCGAAACGGTCCGGGTTCGATTCTCGGTAGCGGATGCGAACTGCTGATAAGTCACAAATATAGGACAAAACGGCCGTCCACTGCATTCTGTTGAGGATTCTTCTACACTCGATAAATTACTATTATGATTTGCCCCAAATTCTATTATGTATAAGGTATATTTAAACAGCGAGTATTCGTCCAAATTAGTTTTATTACATTCAATAAACAAGTTTTGTAAATAGGTTACAATAGGTAAATATTATTTTGGTTTATATTTGAGGCAATAGGCAAGTATTGTTGGTAAACTTTGGTCTTGTTTATACTTGAGTCAATGGGCAAACATTTAGTAAGGTTTGTACTTGCGTCTGTAGCAAAACATTGTTAGTGTTTACAATTGTCAACTTGGGTGAGTAGGTAAAAATTGGTTGGGTTTATACGTTAGGCAATATGTAAATATTGCTTGAGTTTATACTTGAGTCAGTAGGCAGATATTGGTCAAGTGTATACTTGGTAAACTGTTGTGGAATATATACTTGAATCAGTTGGGGTTTATACTTGAGCCTATGGGGAAAATTAAGGGGATTTATATTTTGGTCTACATGCATCAAATCTTTGCGGGGTTCAGTCCTTCAGTATAATTTATGTGCCGCCCACAGTGCGACCAGATAACGAGGTGACTTACGTGAAAAAAAAAAGTAATTATGATTATACTGATACACACTCTACATATCCTTAATAATGTAGTATAGTTTTCTTGGAAATTTTCTCCAGGAATATCTACAGGAGTATGCATGCTTTTCCCCCTTGAACAAAATCTCTTCTGAGTTATATGTATATAATTCTGTCCATGATATCAATTATCATCTCAAGCTAGCTCCCCACAAAGTTTGCAGACTTAACGCTATCCCTGCGGTTGTTCTAAGGAAAGATGCTTCTGAACTGGCTCTTGTTCTCTCCAAACATTACAACAAATGCTTTACTGCTTGTTGCTGTCCAGCTTATTGGAAATTCTCCGCTGTAGTCCCCTCATTAAGAATTCCGGTGAAGCGTCTAATACCTCGAACCATCGCCCTGTTGGGTTTTTTTTAACTTTTTCTGCAAAGTACTAGAAACCCTAATCAACTTCGAAATGGTTGGGCATCTAACTTCACACGACTTTCTTTCGGATAAACAATATGAATTTCATGTATCTAGGTCGACCAAGAGACGCTTAATAACGACAAAGATGAGGATATTAGTCCGAATGCAAATAATATGTAAAAGAGGATATATGTAAATAAAATCATCTTTAAGGTATTTTCACGGTGTTCTTTCTGGCGTTCATTACAGCGTTCTTCCTGTGCAATCAGATAATCGGAGATAAAAGATAATCCTCCGACAAGACCTGAATTACCATTCCTTATCTCAGCGGTGTGTATTACCGAAGAAGCAATTTATCGATCTGGCCAAGAACTCCTCATCTATAGACGTCTTCCGAATAAGCCGATTTGATAAATGTCCTGTGTATGACGATAAACTACATCCGCGTCCTGGGTAAGACGATAAACTACGTCCAACAGCAAGTCCTCAGATCAGGAGGTTCTGAGAAGCGCGGAACCGCCTTTTAATTGATGGTGTTCCCGGGGGTTCACCTGACTGGGTAAATAGTAGCAAACCTAAACACTATGACAGTATAAAAATTGGGTCCCAACTATGTAAAAAATTAGTTAACCCCAAACAGATTTAAAATAATCTTTTCCAAACTAGTATTTTATATATACTATGACAGTATAAAATTGGTTTAATACCAGAAATGTTGTTCGATGTAAAAAAATTATTACCATATAATAATTATTTTTGAAAAATATATATATATATATAAATACATATTATATAAATAATCTATTTTTTTAAATTCTTTTCATATCGTCTGATAGTATTATCATTATATATATACATATTTTATATATATATATATATGACAATTACTATACAACATATTAAGATTGGATTAAGTGAATATTATAGTTTTTTTATATATATATGCTCATAAGATGTTATTATTTCGATGAAGAAAAAAAATGATGCCCTAAATACACACATACACACACAATATATATATATATATATATATATATATATATATAATTTATATGTGCAGTTCAATTTATAATTACATATTCATACAAAAATATATATATGGTTTATATATATATATATATATATGAATGATATATATAAATATATATAGTTTTTCATTAAATAATATAGATTTGTTCTTGTTTTACTTCTGTCTAATAATTTTATTAAAATTCTTTTCATATCGTTTTATTGTTATTGTTTTGGAACGATTGCGGTCACAATGCGCAGTTTGAATTTAAAATTTTAAGGTTGTGCGTTTTTGTACAAAATATAGTAATAAGAGAATTAAACTGGTAGGTTTTTCCATCAATGTGGCAAAATCATATTGTTTCCATCCGAAAGTTGCACGTTGGATCAGTTACATATTACATGAATCATTCATACAAAAACAAAATCCAATCTACAGACCTTGTTGACAAAAATGATAAAAAAGACCATCAAACAGGTTCTGGGGAGCATGTTGGATTGAAATTGTTTGCGAATGGATCCAACCCTATAAGATGATTTATATATATATATATTATATATATATATATATTCCATATTGGACCCAATTCATATACTTGTTGATACAGATATAATACATACATGCAAAAAAGGCTAAAAATAATGGAAGCCTTATTAATAAAAAAAAAACACAAAAACAATTTCTCAAAAACAACTATGAACATGGACACAATATCTTAACCATGTCTTGAAAACGAAAACATTATATAAATTTAGTTGACATATGTCAACCTTGAAAACAACTATATGTTCTTTCTGGCGTTCATTAATTCTTCCTGTCAATCAGATAATCAGAGAAAAATAATCCTCCGACAAGACCTGAATTACCATTTTATTCAGCGGTGTGTATTATGGAACAATCAATCGATCTGGCCAAGAACTCCTCATCTATAACGTCTAAATGTCCTGTGTATGACGATAAACTACATCCGCGTCCTATGACGATAAACTACGTCAAAACAAGTCCTCAGATCAGGATAGATGGTTAAAAAATTAAAGCTATGGGTAAATAACCCCCAAACTGAGGTAAAAAACACTATGACAGTATAAAAATTGGTTTTTAATACCAGAAATACTCTGTAAAAACAATGAAAAATATTATGGAGATAAAATAATTTATATATATATATATATATATATATATTTCGAAAAAAGATGTTGTTCGATGTATGATGAAAAGCTATAATTGTAATTAAATATATATATTTATATATATATATATATATATATAATAATAATGTTTCATTTCATATCTGTAAAATTTTATGTAAATTCTTTTCAAAAACAAATTATGAAAGAAAATCACCATATTGATACATAAAAATCCAATAATGGTAAAATGACAAAAAAAACATATGATAGATCTTCATTCTTCGTTTTAAATACATCTTCTTATCAAACAATTTCAAAATTAAAATGATTTAATGAAACATGTTGAATGAAACTAACACTAAATACACACACACAACCATATATATATATATATATATATATATATATATATATAATATATATATATATAAAATTTGATCAGTTAATTTATTTATAATCATTCATACAAAATTTTCATAAGATCAATTTCAATATCTTACACTAACACCGAACCTGTATAGTTTTATGAAAATAAATTCCAGTTTTTAAGTCTTTTATAGTTTTTTTTTTCGTCTGTTTTCGACATTCATCATTTGTTAAATCTTTAACCCCAAAGAAAATAGA